AAGGCAAACCCATCGGTTTACCATTCTCCTATATTAGCTCTTACGTCTAATAGTTATCATATGATTGAATGATGCAGCTATGCCCACGAAGGGCGATTTCCACTTGAAATTATATTGTGATCTATTACTCAAAGTAGAAAATTGACATCAAAGCTGCCTGATATCAGGCTTTGGCAGTAATAAATATTAGTAAAAATAATATTTTACCCGTGGTTCCACAATTAGTTCTGTAGACATGTGCCTCGACAGATCCGTTGCTTGCAGACAATCTTTTGTAGAGGATATGCGGATGGCCCTTACTCTCTCTCGGCGCGTGACCTTTCACAGGCTCGATAACATACTCGTCATACGGTGTTTTTATAAAGCCAGACTGCAGAAATCGGAAAAGCCAATGAATATTTTACATATCGATTTTTTTTTGCTAATAAATCAATAGATCAATGTCACTGAATGACATGCGGTGGATGTTTGTATAAATAGACCGTTGGCGAATAAACATTGATTGTGATTTAATTAGTTATTGCGGGGAAGTATTTGATTTTGTCGGACGTTTAATGAACACAACAATGTGAGCTGACTTTGAGAAATTATTTGTTAGTAAGATAACACTGGGTGCGGTTGTGCCAGGGCACGGTAGTGACAGTTTTTATAACAGCTGAACTATACTGATCTTGAGATAGGATCCAAAGGTAGAAAGATGAAGTATGTTTGTTCGAACAAGTTTGCATTATTGAATTAAGTCATCGCCCTACATTAGCATGATCTGTAGTGTCAAAAACCATTCGATTCCTATTAAAATGGAGACGTGGTGGTTAGTGCAAGACTCAAAGATTAGTTTTTAAGAGAACGGAGCATCCGATTTCAATAATTCAAATAACATTTTACTTGTATTGACAAGATGAAGAACTGAATAAATTTTTGGAAAGGCAGGTTTAGCGGTTTTGGAGATCTAGTAAAAAATGTAAAAAAAACGCCATTTTGAGGTCAAAAATGATCATTGGACATATGCACATCATATTATCAGATATTTTATGAAGATTTTAATAATGTGTATTAATTTGGTTTACATTTCTATGGGTTTTGTAACATCGTTTGTCTCTTTGACGGCGACGAGGCGCTTACGCGTTTCGATATTCCTTCTCTATACAGCCAAAGCATTGCGATTGCTTTAAAAAAAGTTCTAAATTTCAAAATTAATTCAAACTAATAAAAGCATTTTTTTCCAAAAGTTTTTTCTCCAAAAAAGTAATGTTTTTCAAAAAATTAAGATTTCTCAAAAATCTAATTTTTTCAAAGTTTAAAACATATTTGTTTTTTTAAAAATCTAATTTTTGGTACGCGAAGTTTCAGCAATTTGCCTTAAGGCACGGTGCCATACACCACTCGCTTTTATTATAATAAGCTTTGTTTAAATGATTGCATCATATTTCTTTGTTTAAATGGTTACATAATTATTTCTGACAATAAAAGTCGTTTAATAAAACCAATTTTGGTATTATTTTCTAACTTATGTTTATGCCTGATTTGATTTTATGATCAATCCATCATTAAAAAATTTGAAGAAAAATATCTCACGTGTTTGAACACTATGAGCTTTTAAGTGCAATTCAGAGCTTTAATTAAGTTATGACCATTGTAGTAAATTTTTACAAATTTTGTTGATTTAAACTATGTAACCGTAACCGTGAATAACCTGTCTAGGATCACAGTCGAAAACAATAACACAATTGCCGCACGATTTCAGGAATTAGACTTTTATTGAACTGTAAAATCAAAATATTTAAATTTGGGAGAGGCCCTTCTTAGAAAAAAAAAACATTTTAGTACATGATTTAGGCAAAAGTTGTTGCATTGAATGATGATTCAAAAATGATGAAACGAGAGACAAACATGCGAACTAAATATAGGCGGAAAGCGTTATCATTTATCGTGTTATTTTAAGTTTTTATTTATTTACTCGTACTTTCAAAAAACAATGAACGCAGTATAATCCACAATCACACCTAATGCATTTTTCAATATGTGTCCGATTCGTTAGACCAATCTTTATTACATCATACCCTAATAATGTGTCAATGTATACTTACCAGTCCATTACACGTGGATATAGCGACTTTAGTATCGGGCATCCCCCTGATTGTGCCTCGAAAGTGACACTGATCAACATTGGGTTTCTCGATAATAAAGTCTTGAACTTTATGAGTCGGTCGCTTTTCGATCACTAGGCCTGGGCCGATGAAATCGTGATTTGGCCACAGCTCCAAATGATGTTCCTCTCCTAGCACAAAGATGGGAGATTTTGTTTTAGACGAAATAGAAAATTACTTTTGTTTCTTTGTTGTTAGTCGTGTGATGTAATTAACTTTGGGATAAGTTATGCAAAACTCGGCCAAAGTGAAAATATTAACTGATTAATATGTTCATATATTTGGAATATATTGGATAAAAACTCTTCTTCGCTATAATTTTTGTCACAGACTCGGTAAAGTATAATAACAATGTTTGGCTTAGGTGCACTATGGTATTTTCTCAAAAAGAGATCATGCGAATTTAATAAAACTTGGCACACATTGTTATCATACTTCACCAAGATTTTGACAATTTTTAAAATGTTTCACATAGCAGTTTTCAAGATATGCAAGATTGCACTCTGACCTGAAACTAGCCTAGTTTCAGGTTGAGAGCACGTTTGGCCTAGACGCACCATGGTATCTTTTCAAAAGGGGATTACACAAATTTAATGAAACTTGGCACACATTGTTATCATACTTTACCAAGATTGTGACAATAAATTTAAATTGGTTAATACGGTAGTTTTCGAGATATTCGAGATTTCACTCTGACCTGAAACTAGCTTAGTTTCAGTTTGAGAGCACGTTTGGCCTAGGTGCACCATGGTATCTTCTCAAAGAGGGTAGTATTACAATAATTATTAACAGACGTTATTTCTCGCATTTTACTTACTTCATTATGAATAAATACTATGAGTTTAATCGAAATCCGAGATTCCAAGATTTTTTCGCTAAAATTTTTAGTGTATTTGATCAGGCTAATTTTCGAGTTTTCAGCGAATTTAACTAGAAAAGCTTATGAGTATAAAAATAATTCTTATATGACGTTATTTCTCGCTATATGCAATTAATTTCCATTTTGGATCCACTATCTGCCCTATCTGCCCTACCTGCCGAGCAATCGTCAAAAAGTTAGGATTTTTTTTTTGCTAATTTTTAATACTGCAAAACTTTGAGAACATATATATACCCTAATATATATATATATATATATATATATATATATATATAATGGACATTTTCGAATGTCCTTGCCACCAAGGGCTCAAATGTTTCCAAATTGATAAAAAACAATTCTGACAGTTTCAGCTCTTAATATTAACTTTAAGATAATACACAATTCAATCAAACTTCGTATGGAAAGAGCATGGAAAAATTTTTAAAATTAAAAAAAAAATTTTTTAGGTACAACTTAGCGACAAATGAATTAAAAGTGTCATTTTTTATTGAAAATTCGACTATTTTTTCAAAAATGTATATTACATCCATACGTTTTGGCTATAATTCTAGCCTTCATTCAAAACTAAAACAATTGAATGAAATGAATTGAAAAATAAATTAAAAACTAAAACAATTAAATTGGAGTCAAAAAAAATAAAAAGAGTAAATTAGTACCTACAATTAGATATGGAAATGCACAACATTAATTAATATAAACATTAAACTTGTAATCAAACACTTTTCACAAAATACTAATTTAAAAAAATCACAAATAGATAGTGTGTAATATATGTGTTGTTTGTAGACTGATTGAAGATATAATGGAGAAAAGACTCTTTGAAATATTTTTACCAAGATTCTACACATTGTCTATATATATCTGATATATATAATTAGTAATATATTTTTCAAATGTTTTTGCCATTAGGCACATATGTTTAAATATTATATTTTATTTTATATTCACTGAAAAATATGTTCTATAATTTAAAATATATAGGATGAGAACTCTTAAAAAGTTCACAAAAATATTATTCTACAACAAAATTGATTTTCATACAAGCGTCTATCATGTTCAAATAGTTGCATCTAAATTTGCATTCAAAGTTGAAATACTGCCAATCTTAACACTCAATAGTAAAGTTTCATTTCATTCGAACTACATAGTTTGCAATTTGCGATTCGAGATGCAATCAAACAACAATGTCATTTCGGTTCTCAACTTCGGCCTCGCAAAACTTATCGATTGTATGATACAGAGTAAATATTTTCCAACAAAACAAGTCTATTCACAATCGAACACGCGATGTGTTTTTCCTACTTTTAGTTATTTTTAATAGCTAACCTTCAATAGGAAACTTGTAATGTATGAAGGAGTCCTGGGTAATCTCTCGCTTTTTTCTGGTCTCGTCTAAGTTGTAATAGTGAGGTATGTAGTGGGAGACGAATGATCCGTCGTAGTCAACTTTTCTTGGCACGACAAGCTCGTAGTCTTCAACATTTTCGGTGTACAGACCTTCGAAAAATCAGATCTGTTACATATTCATGCGATAGAATTAAATATCAAATGTTCAAGGCTATTGAGTTGCTAGTTGGAGTTAGAGAACTGGAAAAGATTGATATAACATAGGAATAAAAGTTCTAAATAGTCACAAGGACGTACTTGTGAAACCTTTATTATAGTATTTACAGATATTTTTTATTTTCTTTACAGATATTTATTGAATTACAACCTGTTTTTTTTTCAAATGCTTACCCAATAAGCCTTTACGATGCTGATAAAAATTTTGACATAATTATTGAGCTTTGACTGGATTATGTTTACATATATATATTGAATGAGACCCCTTTTCATATACAAAATATTCAATCATAAAAAAATAATAATCGATATAGATTTATCCTAATCTATAACAGTAATGTTGCCAACTTTTATCAATGTAATTTTACACATTTATTTTATTTAAATCTTTAGTAGTACTTGATTTTTATACCATTCTCATTGCCACTCCATTTTAATTACCGTCCATATTTTTTGAAAGTTTTTGAAGAAGTTGTTCCTCAGAAAGAATATTTATTTATGTCAAAGGTTGATCAACCCTTAATTTGTGTTGATTTATCTGTCTATTTTCTATATATTTTAGAACAAAATAAAGTTGTTTTAGTCTGTTTATCATGCATGGTCAAAAATCACATACGATTTTTTGTATGTATGTTTACTAAAGGGTAGATAAGCCTATTTTTTATTTTCTTGACCAGTTTTCATTCTATTAAAATTTTTATTCTAATTTGTGGAATGCCTAGTTAAAAATTACATATTGGTACATATTTATACCAAAATTCCATATGTTGCAATAGTCAGTTTAGTAACGAAATCGTTTTTTATCAAAATTTCAGTTAGTGAAACTGAAATTATTATTTTATACTAAGCACAGATTAAGATTTGTTGGAGCTTATGGAAAAGCTTAAATCCTATTTCAATTTGATCTACACGGCACCTAAAAATTATATACTATCTTGAATTTTCACCTTCCTACCGCAAATTTATATTGTGCAATAGTCATTCAAATAATTAAATTGTATTTCAAACTACTTTGACCTGGTAAATGGGAGAAGTATTAAATTCTGAATTTTGATGATTATATTGAGCTTATGGAAGAACCTAGATTTTTGTTAATCAATAATTTATTTTAATTATGAGTTGTTCCCTCTTAACATTTTTTATGAATTTTTGGATCAATTTATTTAACTTTTGTATATAACGCGCAATTAAATACACATGAAGCCCTTAATTTTTACGCTTTTACCTTAAACGCCTATTTAGTAATAAATGGATAATTTTAATTATAAAGTTTATTAATATCGTATGAAAATATTAAATACCATACCATTACTAGATTCAAAAAATATATCGTAGTGTTCTAACAATTACTCACCCATTTAATTTTGATTCTAATTTTTTAAAACTAAATTATTATTGATACTGTTGAATAAATTATGATTTTACCAAGTTGTATTTAGTATAAATTATACAAAATTACTTACTTAATTTCAAAGTCTCAATTTTATTCGTCTTGATCAAATTACTATAGTCAGAAAAAATAGGATTACACAGCAGTTCAATATAGATAAAAATGGAAAGTAAGAATAACTTAAAATTAAATGATAATAATAATTATAAAATATATAATTCAGAAGAACAATGTACTTAGAATACAGTTTGATGCACTTTTATTTGTTACATGGTTCATGAAAACATGTACAACAAATAACTAATGCAGAAATATGCGAGCTTTTAGATAATATATATATATATATATATAAATTTGAAAAGATATTACATTTATTTGTTGCATTAAACTTTATTCATAAAACAAATACAACATTCAATATCTTCTAAGAAGTTACACTTTTAAAATAATTTTTCATTACACACATCTTGAAAGTATTCATATTCCAAATGCGGTAAACAATAAATATGCAATTCCAAACAATTGAAAACATTTGAAAACTATACAAAGTGTAGTTTAAATTTCCCGCAATACCAATTTTATAGTTTTCAAACTGTATATTGCTGTTGCTTCTAGAACGCCGATATCATAGTCGGAATACCTTCGTCAAAGGGTTGACATTCCATATTTTACTCGAGTTTCCAAAGAATGTTTCATGACAATGATTTACTCATACATACACCAAGTACTGAAGCAAATATATTTCTGCAGAGTCATATTTTATAAAATTTCGAATGATAATGTTATTCACGTGTATGCTTCAACGGCGAGATATTTCTTTGTAAAACTTTGCGCTTCTTTATTCAATATCCTGTAAGAAGTTTTATTTGTGCATCCAGTCGTACATTCAGGAACGTATTTGGAAAATTTTGATCCAATATTCTATTGGTTACTTTCATCTAGAGTAGATTCTTATTAAATACATATTATAATGCGTTTTTTTTTTTACGTGTATACTTTATTTTTTTTTTAAATTACAATATTTATTATAACTGTTAAATAATCTAACATCTAGTAATAATAATAAATAATAACATAAATTTAAATAAATATGAGTACAAAGGATAGAATTTACATTATACATTATAGTATACTTTAATGGCGAGCTTTTTTTGACAAATTTTACTCCTTCTTGATCAATATTATGTGAGAAGTTTAGAGACCAATTCTTGGATAAAATAGGAATGTCATAGTAATGCTATGTTACAGGTCTGTATTCGTATGATTTTGTAGCTACAAACTGTCAAAAAGCTATGTATTTGCTACGTTTTACACTTAATACCTAATTTCATATATGTGTTACCAAGAAAACATCCGAAAGATGCATTTATGATAAAATTGTTTTTTGACGTTTGTACGTTTTGGAGGTTAGGTTTCAGGCGTAAAATGCTTTATCGCACAACAAGTACATAGCTTTTTGACAGTTTGTCACTATCAACTCATACATGTATAGACCCCTAAAAAAAATTTATCATAGCCACCACCATTTACCTATTTTATCCGAGAATGATAAAAAAAATATTAATATTAGTGCTTTAGTGAAAGGTATGTTTTTTTCTGATAGATGACCATTAGTTTAAAATATTGTTTAAACCAACTGAATATTGATCATGATTAATTTAAATTTTTACTTAATAATCTTTTAACCTAGGAATTAAGTGTGATATACTATAATAACATGCTTCTATTTATAATAAGTTCAGTGAACCTCATTGTCTTTTAACATTAAGTTTCGTTAGGAAACTAATTGTTGCTATTTTTCATATCAGAGCTTGTGATCTACAAATTTTCATATTTAATTTTTTTATATATTAAAAATATAAGTGTATAAGAAAATCTGTTATATATATAACTGTATCTCAATCAGACAATATATCTGGTGTAAGAGATCACAGTAAATATTATTACAAACAATTTATATACTAAAATTTTGCAAATATACACGTAAATACATAATATGCTTATACACACACATGCTTATTCAGATAAAAATTATAAACAATAATTATATATAATGAAAGAAAAAAAAATTATCTCTAAATTCTAGGGTACTTTTTAACTCTGAGAATTTTACTTTTTGACTTTTTTAAGAATTGCTCAATATGACAATGAAGTCACGAAATTCTCAAATATAAAAAAATAATCTGGACACTTTAATAAAGTCATAATCGCATATTTATTCATGGCCAATGTAATCACAATCTTAATGCAACAAATCTGATAATATTTTATAGACTTAAAATCACCTTTTTATTAATCAATCATGTAGGTATCATTCAATCTCCTACTATATTATTAACCATATTAATAATTATAAAAAATTAATTCATTTTTTTTTATTCTCCACTATATTCAGCACATGCAACGAAATACCAATCCTTTTTATATAAAAGATACAAAGCTTACCTTATTTCCACTATACAATTAATTAGTATATGATTATACCGAAAAATCGCTATCAGTCTCGTCAGAGGTCCGTGATTCAATATTGAAAACTTGCATACTGACATCATCCATCAACTGTTGCTTCTCTATATCACGTGATCTTGACTTCGTGTACATAACTTGTAATTCTGCACGAGATGCCTTTTTTTTCTTCCTGGTTTGATAACTATAGTCCAGGTCGCTGCTGGACGAAGACGAATAAGGATAGTGTTTTCGTCTGGCTTTTCGTCTCTTTTTTTTCTCAGCATAAGCAGGATCATCTGAAGAATCTATCACATCACTGATATCGCTTAAATCACCTAGGTAAATGATGATTAGAGTTAAATTAGCAATCAAGAGTCATAAAAACCCTTTCCATCCAAAGCCTGCCTTCTTTTTTGGCACTTTTCAAGTGAACCTCGACATTGGAGCGGAAAGGGTTAAATATATGAAATGTATGAAAAGCAAATTCATATATAAGACCTAAAAGCCAAATTGAACCATTATTAGTAAAAGCTTTGATTGAGATAAGTTCACTATCACTAGAACGTTTTGACCGGAAGATTTGTACTAAACAAATATTAGCTAAGAAATTACCATACCAATATCTCCACAACTACTGAATTCTACAGAATTATATAAAGCAGCATTATATATAATCTAGATATAAATAACTTTCATCTAAATTTATATAGAACTCGTAGTTATTAAACGTAGCTTTAAATTTAGATGCAACATATAGTTTTGCAACTTCCGTACAAAACTTTGTACAAAAGTTGTACAAACTCGCCGTAACGTAGTCCAAAACTTTTGTTCAAAGTTATATAAAGGGAATTGAGATATGGTAAATATTTCTTGCTTATGAATTTTAGAATATTACTACTTAAAGAAGAATATAAGCGACACGATAAATGTGCTATAATATTAATTGAATAATATTTGTATAAAAATATGTCTGGGTAATAGCAAATGTTTCACTGGTATACCGAAATATCGGAATACGGCCAAATTTTTCGGCGGTATTAAAACCGGTATTTACCTTAAAAATATCATATTACACTCGAGTTCAAATTTCTCAAAACAAATGTATCGTTAAATTCCATAATCGCATAAACAGATATATCTCTAAAGTCGAAACATTATCTCAACTCGTCATTACAGTGAATATTTATTGCTTTCCAAAAATAGGCTTTTTAATATCTTGCCTAAGTAAACAAAATCGGATGAATAAATAATGATGCTAATTTAAACTTATGTAAAAATGTAACAATTTTTCAAAGTGACAGCTGCGCCAAAATATTTTATATCATAATATTCACAATCAACATAATAAAGATTACTACTGTGAAATCTGTATTTTTCCTAACTTCGTACGTATTAATCCTGATTACTAAATATTTTTGCTTTTTATTACAATTATAAAATATTATTTTCGTAAAACGTATCGCAGTTTGAAAATAATATAAGATCATTAAATTTATTTAAATAAAAATACTAAACAATTATAGTATGTTATTATTTATCTTGATAATCTATAAGATGTTTAATTAGTATAGAAAAAATATTGTTTTAAAGTCTTTAAAATACTGAAAATTGTGCTGATTTAACACATTGGATACAGACAATACAATTCATTATGAAAATGTGGTATGATAAGAATAGTTATAGTAAAATTAATGATAGAGAAAGTTATTGGTCATTTAATTATCTCTAAAATAGTATACTACAAGTTCTGATAAAATCAGAATTAAAAGTTATAATACAATTAATGCGGGGGGGGGGGGGGTGGTGAAAGGTAAAAAAATCACAGGACACACGCCTTTTTTCTTTCCATTTACTGCAATAATTTTGTTGATCGTAGGTTGAATAGAGCACATGTGAACAGGATTTGACAAATTGATTCACTTCAAATATGAACTTAAGTAATAATGTATATTAAATTATTAGTGAGAAAAATAAAATTTAGATATTAAAATTACTTGAAGCCAGTTAAAATATGGTACAAAATTATAACAATTAGATGCAACATTACTGAAGCAATTTTTTTGGGTAGAAAAATCCAAGCTGATATTGTACCTTTACCAGGAATGCTACATATTAATTCTTTCTGAATTTGTTATACCTGAGTTTTCGATCTTTCTCACGCATATGATTGATTTTGGTGAGAAGTACTCAATAAAGTCCATACTGATGATGAGTTAATTCAATTGGATATAATTTTGTTAAATTATTTTTAAAGAAAATAAACTTATTGTTTTCTTTATTGTGTAGTTGTAATAATTATCCTTGTATATATATTTTTTTATATTTATACAAGTATTTATACATGTATAAATATACGTACATACATACATACAGTACATACCCGTATTTTACCGGTATTATCAGTTTTAAAAGAGAAAATACAGAAATACCGGCATTGAATTTGTTATTGGTATTGCACTTTCTAGTACTGATTATTATATATCTTACATCGAAATAAGTAGCATAGGGTACTTTTTGGAACATAACTACCGTATTATAGAAGGGTCTCTGTATCCCACAGTAGTAATAATAGTAAATAGATATTTCAATTAGTATTTTTTATCAAATTACCGTAAGAGATAGGATCCAGGCAAATAGTGCATTTATTGTGCAAGTCCCCGAAACAACTTTCGCAGAAAACTCCGATGCAGGCGGGAGTCGCGCATCGTATGAAAGTCTCGCCTTTGCGCTCAACGGATGCACACACCAGGCAGGATACTTGTTTTTTATCATCGAGAAAAAAACGAATCACAGGAATGTTGATCAATTTAGCTCGCACCATTTCCACGAATGTTACTTTATCCACCCCTGATTTACCTGAGAAAAAAGTAAATAAATACATAACATAATATATAATATTTTGCATTAGTGCAGAATAATACCATTACATGTTCTATAAGCTGTATCAAACACTTCTTACTATTAAGAAACATTAGTAGACAATCATTAATTACATTTTTTACTATCTACTAAGGGGTATTTTTGGTCCCACCTTCCTCTTTCTTGGTGATACGTGGTGATATTAGAAATTACCCCGCCCCCCTCCCCTATCAAACATGACGTATATTTTTAGTTATGACAAAAAATGTATTTTTTTTAAATTTTTTTGAAAGTGTTTGGATTTTTTTTAAAAAATTAGTTAATAATTAAATACACGTGATATCTTACTATACCGTTTTCTCCCCGACTCGTGATTTTTTATTCAAAGAAAACCCAAGATTAATTGAGATATTGCATCAATTTCACGAAAGGATATGTTTGCTTGAAAAGTAAAACCCGATGCCATTACTGCTTGGCATTAGGTTGTTCGTGGGAGGTATCGAGCCTGGGACATCCGATTGAAATTTTGTAGTTTTAACCTAATTAGATACCTCAAATTAAATTAATACCAAGTTTTGTTAAAGCATATTAGCCAAAACCAACAATATTAGCTACCCATACACTAGCGTTCTTTCATGCAGTTCTTTCCGTTGACGGTTTTTCCTGTCAGATTACCAAAGGGAAAAAAATCTGTTGATCACCCACTAACACAAACTGTTTCCTACCATCTTTCTTGTCGTATTTTCCTGTTAGACTTGTCATCTCACATTCATGAGGAAAATAATCCTGTTACAGCACACTAACGTAAAATATATTTTCTGCAATCTTTCTTCCTAAAAGTGGATCTGTACGGAAAGCATGTTGGTTAGTGTGTAAATTTATCATTTTTAGACACATCTATCCTGACGATCGATCACTTTACTTTTGACAAAAGGATTTTGCTAATTGTGAAACGATAAATTTACAGAGTGTATAGTGCTGAGTACTAGTGCGGTTATATAAAAAAATATTAAATAATTTTCTATTTTGCATTATTATTATTTATGGAAAGAAGACGAAGAATTATTGCTATCACATGTGCTGGGTTAGTAAGTGAAGGCTTCGTTTTTAAGCAACAAAGAAAAAAGAAAAGACGTGCCTGGTCCAAAACATGGTTACTGCAACGAGCGAAATACGGCGATATGAAGCTTTTGAAAGAACTAAAAAGAAATGAACCCGACGATTTTAAAAATTACCTAAGGATGAGTGCAGACGTGTTTGACAAGTTGTTGAAATTAGTTGGCCCATATATACAAAAACAAAATACTCAAATGAGAGATAGTATACCAGCAGAAGAGCGACTTATTGTAACGTTAAGATTCTTAGCTACTGGAAGAAGCTACGAATGTTTAAAATTCAGTAGTGGCATTTCTCCGCAATCATTAGGTCGCATAATTCCCGAAACATGTAGAGTCATCTATAAAGTTCTGCAAAAGGAATATATGAAAGTAAGTACAATACCTTGTGCAAAAAGTCCTCTCTTTATTTTAACAAATACAAATAAACTAAAAAACTCATCCTAATTATAACAAGAAAACGTAAAAAAATTATATAATTGTTATTCACGACCTGCTGAGGAAAAATAAGCTCGCAAACCTTCCATAGGGCTAACATTTTCAGCAGGAGTAGATTCCGCTGTGGAATAATTGTTTGATAGGGAAGGAGACGGAAAGGAATTAGACGCTAATGAGGAATGGGCCGAGGACCCTGGCGACACATGAGAAAAATTATTAGAAGGATAAAGTCCTACATTACTGTAGGTTACATCTACGAATTCATTCAATTGACCCATTATTGCCTTATTAAGTACTTTAGTTAGCAATGCTTCAGCATACATCTTTTGTTCTGGGTTTACGACTTTTTCCAATTTTGCACTTATGTATTGACCCAGGGCATCATTTTCTGTTGGTTTGGAGTTTAGTGCCTCAGTACACTTTGCAAGAAATAATTTCCGCTCCCTGTCTTCACAGATTTTTTTGTTTTGTGCAGGGCTATGACCGTCTGCATTCCTATATCTCTTGTTGTTGGTGTTAATATTAGTATTAACCACTGACTCTACATTATGTGCTATTCCCTAAAAAATATTTATATGTTACATACTTCGAAGATAAGTTTTTACTTTTTTAACACATATAACTTTATTTTTAGTTTCCTACTACTACAGCAGAATGGAAGAAGATTGCGGAAGATTTTGATACCCGTTGGCAATTTCCTAACTGTGGCGGAGCAATGGATGGCAAACATATTAGAATCGCATGTCCGCCAAACACAGGAGCACTTTACTATAATTATAAAAATTTTTATAGCATTGTGTTGATGGCATTAGTAAATGCAAATTACGAGTTTGTTTATGCTGATGTCGGAAAAAATGGAAGAAATTCAGATGGTGGTATTTTGGAATACACTAAGTTTTATGACAAACTTATCAACGATCAGTTAAATATACCACAAACAGTAGATAACATCGAGCATCTCAACTTCGTTTTTGTGGGAGATGAGGCGTTTGCCTTGCATTCACATATTTTGAAGCCATTTAGTCAAGTGGAATTGACCTATGAAAAACGAATTTTTAATTACCGATTATCCAGGGCTAGAAATGTTGTTGAGAATGTTTTTGGACTTGTTGCTTCTCGATTCAGAGTGCTTCATACCGCAATTGCCTTGAAACCGGAAAACACAACATTAGTTATAATGGCAATTTGTGCTCTGCATAATTTTTTGCGGCGCAACAGTGCATCATATTTCAGTCAGAAAGTGTGGACTCGGAAGATAAAAGCTCTCATGAACTACGCAAAGATGGGGATTGGCGAACTGATACTGGTGACTTTTATGGACTGCAGAATTTAACTCGTAATATGACTTTGGAGGCAAAACGCAGCCGCGATAGATACCTCCATTACTTCAACGGTGATGGTAGTGTTCCTTGGCAACATGCAATGGTGGCAAAAGGGAAAGCATAATCAAGAAATATATTGGTTTATGAGTAGAAATTTATAATAAGATTTTTCAATTACCTATCTAATTTTGTAATAAAAATGAATGATAAAATGATTGTAATGAACATACTTCGTTGGTTTCATTGCCTTCGTTGGGCTCGTCTATTTCCTCCACAGGTTCTTGAAATGGGCTATTTGTTGACTCATTGATGTTGTCACAACTACTGGTTGGTAGTTCATGATCTACTAAAAACATCAATAACTTGAAATACCACAAATGTGATTTATAATGTTCGTCAACACCTCTGCCTGATCGCTTTGACTTTTCGACCTTTAAATAATATTAAACTATTTACTATTTTGCACCCTTTTGGGACAGCTATCTATGTATAACTACGAGTATTAACAAGTGTATACTTGCCTTTTTAAATTCTTTGCGGAAGGATCCTCTAATTGATTGAATTTTTTGTTTTACTGTTTTGTGGTCAGCATGTGAATCGTACTTTCTCCAAATCTTTAGCAATTCCAAGTAGCCTTTATTTTTTAAATTACGGTTTTGGTATAGTTCTTTATTCTGTATCTGCCACAAAGCTGGATGAGCTCTATAAGTCTCAATAAATTCTTTCAAAATCCCTTTTGGGACATTTCTTATGTCACCTTTTTCACTTTTCTCTTCACAATCATCATCGTTCAGTTCGGTTACTTGAGTCAATCTCAATTCTTCCTCCATATTAATATTAATATTATTTATTATTCACAAAAAAACAATAATATTATTATTGCACAAGAACAACCCGTGTCCAACCACGCAACAAGAAAGAACAACGCGACTACATAACCTGCGCGAAAACTACGTGCCCACTAACTATGTCTTGGGCAGGAACGTCGAGACATCCCCGAAAGAAATTAGTAATGCTGGAGCGTCATGTCACGCTTCACTAACACACAAATCTTTCCTTCGGGAATCCCCTTTCCGTCAGGAATAACGGTTTTCCTAGAGGAAAGAACGCTAGTGTATGGGTAGCTATTATCTGTTACTATATTGTCTTATCATATTTTACGAAATTCGTTAACAAACTTGTCATATTTCTTGCATTGTCATTTAATTTTTGAAATTACATGTGAAATAAAACGTAATTCATGTCTTGTTCAAGTGTCCTAGCTTATACAAACACAATAACTTAATATTTATCGTGATAAGCATTTTTACACGAAATTATAGATCAGAAACATGTTTCCTGGTGGTATTTATTTTCACAGAGTGAAAATCTCCAACATTATTATATGGACACAAATGTCATTACAAAAAATGTGTAATAGAATAAAAAAAATATTTCCTCTATTTGCACTAAATATTTTTACGTGTTCTACATTCTACAAATAGTAAACCATTTGTGAAACACGTACGTACGTAATTTTTATTGAAATCTCTCTTGTTTCCGGAAATGGTAACAATTTATTACTAATATTATTAGTATTATATCTAACTAATCCCACAGTACAAAATTCGTTGAAAAAATGAGCTGAATTGATTTACATAAAATTATATAATTGATTGATATAATGATATAATTTGTTCTGAGATTAATAGTATTCAGATTACTTGATATGCATTATGATAATATTACATCACTAAACAACATTATATTGAAGTTTTGGCATTAAGGTACTTCTCTAAAACTTACATTTATCACTTATATTAAAATCGTTTTGCATATTTTTGCATCATTATCAGTTTATTTAATAATTTAGCAACGCATGGAACACTTAACTTTTCTTATATTTATACTTGTCAAAATTTATTGAATTTATAATATAATCTAGTATGTGCATATTAGGGTGGTCACTAATATGGACGTTTTTGAATTTCCTTACTCCCAAGGGTTCAAATGGTTCCAAATTGATAAAAAAACAATTCTCTGAAAGCTCTTAATATTAACTTTTAGATAGTGCGAAATTCAATCAAACTTTGTATGAAAATAGCATGGAAAAAAATATGAAAATTAAAAAAAATGAATTAAA